AGGAATATAACTGTTTATGTATCACAATCAAACGTTATAATGAATGGGCGGCACGGGAAGACCTTTTTCCTAACATTCGCCAAACATAAACCTACCACCTTCGACACTCGAGAAGTTTACAAGGGACAAAATATGCGTTGCGCAAGATGATTATTCGAATTATTCTTTAACAATTCAGAAGGAAATTCCGCAACGTAAGAGGAATCGCCCGCCTCCGTCGTTTTTCAACAAGGAACTCTCGCATCAGTATTCACGTTTGTTATAACGACGCAAATTGTTGAACAGCTAAGTAACGTAAGTAATAAAAAAAAGGACAGGCGCGGCATAATAATACCTGTAAGCACAAAGGAGCGAGGAGGAGGGGGGGGGAGTTTTCGCGAGGCTCCATCGCAAGAAGGCACTTTATGAAATTTTTTCTCACCTACACGAGCTGCTTCGCTAATTGTGTTTCTTCAGCTATTTATGGCAATAATTAATTAGGAACCGCGTTGAACGAGACCGGAGTTCTCCGGCTTATGCCTTTTTCCTGCGAGCCATTACCGCGAGCATCCTTTTTACGTCCATTATACAGCCATAATAAAGGTGATTTATTATTATTACCTCCTTTATTTTTGTCGTACTCACTTTGCACCGCCGATGAGACGCCGTTAGCGGGTTAACTCTCGCGAGGTTGCGCGCGCGTAAATTTTCACGATAAATTTTCAAGCCGCGGTTATCTCCAAGTGCGCCAGCAAGAGTGTACCCAGCCTGTAACACTGTTGTCTCCCCTCCCCACCCCGCCCCTCGTCGTTTCGTCCCCGATTAATAACTTTTATCGTCGCGCAACATTCTCAGGATCCTATCGTGGGACGGCATTCAATTCGTCCGCGCGCGAGATACCAGCGCGTAAATAGAGCTCGCCGGGACCTGAATTTCCGCGGGGCAGAGAGCCGCGGGGGCTGAGGCTAATCAGATCTCGCAGTCGCGTCACGAGATCGGCAATAATCAGCGCGCAGACGGCACGCATCAACGTACGCCGCTGGAGCCGCGGCATAATGAAAGACCCGCTGTCGAAATTGAGACGCGACAGTTAACCGCGTTATCTGCTAGCAGCTTGCTCGATTGGTGAATCCGTGATAGCGGCCGACGTTGCTGGCGCGTGGTCGTGATGATGACGGTAACGACGATCCGGTGATACCGGTAGTGTACGGTGGTGGTGTTGGCGGCGGTGGTGGTGGTGGTGGTCGAGACGGTGGCGAACGCAGGTGGCGAGGTGGAAGGTGCGACGGGGGTGGATGAGCTAGTGACTGGGGTTGCTATCTCATGTCAGTACGATGTTGGGAGCAATGGCGTCCCTCCAGGTAAGCGTGCTAGCTACACCGGAGGCAGGGGTGGGTTTAACAAGCGATGTTATCTGCCCAGATGAATGCCGCTCGCCCCTTGCCCCCTTCGGCCCAACATCCCCCCACGACTCCGATCGTATCGCGCCGCACTGCCTGCTTCGTCACGAATCTCACGAAACGGTCGAGCCGCGCCTCGAGAATCTTTAAGAAGTCATTCGACAATAATCGCTCCGCTATGATACCGCCGAAATACTCCCGCGGTGCCGTCGATCAGCGTGAAATTTCTGCCGCCTCTGCGCCGGCGAGAGCCGCGAAGCCCCCCGTCGGCGAAGCCGTAATATACATAATTATATTTTCGTGCGCGATAATTTCGCGAGAGGCTGTTACGAATTCGCCCGCAAATTTTCACAATCTCGCTCCCCACTTATTTCGAACAATAATAAAATTGGCATTAAACTTTTACCTTTAAGTTACTCCAATTTGTATAGTTCCAAAGTATCGAGCCAGCTCGCGAGCCGAGTGAAAAAGTCGTCGGGAAAATTAAAGTAGCATTTATAATGAAAATTAGAATCTCTTTGGACGGCGCTCTCAGGGTGAATTTTCAAACGATAAAACTTTTACGATGCAATTCGTATTTAGAACAAACGCCGAAGGAGCATTTAGCGATATACTCGCTCTTTTTTTTTTCCTCTCCCTCTCCGGAGAACCCGCGAGGGTTCATTAGCGATATTAAGACGTTTCGCCGAATACCCCGATTGGAGAGCTTCCAGGATTCAAACGAATTGCCCGGGAGGCGGCATAGGAACGAAGGAGGGCGAATCGCGAGATTTATTGAGACAGGCGCGAGAAATCCCCCCGAAATTACGAGCGCGGGCTAGCGGACGAGCAATCTCGTCGAACAATAAAATTTTCGAGTAAGGCGGCGCGAGCCGCTCGAATTTCTCAGAGCAACTTACGGCCGAGAGCGCCGTGCTATCGCGCCCGTAAAGAGGAACGGAATCGCGTCAAGTATTTCACCATAAAAGTCCCGCCATAAAGGGGGAATACGTGTACAATAATGTCACTTTAAAGAAGAAGAAGAAAAAAAAACCCCCCGGAGCGCGAGAAAAGAACGAACCGAATAACGTGTTAATGTTCGCCGTCGCGTTTATTTCAGGCCCTCCTTTTTTTTCAGGGACATTAATCATCGTCTCCGGTAAATGTTCTTTGCGTTGTTAATGCCTCGCGTTAACTCCCCCTCTCCCCTCCCGGAGGGAAGCTAACAAACGTAACCGCGGTTCGTATCTCGGTCTCTCTCCGCGGAACATTGAAATAAAACTACCCCGGCCTACCGCTCCTTCCCCCCTCTCATTTTTCCCCAGTCATATACGAATAACGCAAATTTCTCACCTGGCGTACACCAGCGCGACGTTAACCAGGTCCCATTAATCTCGACACGCCACCCCTTCCCCCCCTCCAAGTTTCTCGTTTAATACGCGGTGCCCGACCCTCCGTCCGGACCTTCGCCGCTCTACCCCTTCCATCTTTCCCCTTTGCTTTCCTTTCCGCCCAAGGATGAAGACCAGGGTGGTAATTAAAGCGTGAATAAATAAAAGGCGGATGCGTAAATCCCACGACATGAAAAAGTGTGTGTGTGTGTGAGAGAGAGAGAGAGAGAGAGAGAGAGCGGGCAGGAGAGCGGGAGAAGGAGGGGGTTGGGAAAACAATAAACCTGCGTGGGTTTACGAGCTCCTCGAGATCTTAATCGTCCACTCCACTAGGCCGATTCCCTCGGCGAGTCGCGCGCGCGCGCGCTACGAGCGGCGGGATCGCTCGGCTCTCAAGTTATACCGTTTTCGAATAATAATAAGCCAGTCCGCGTTTCGCGAAATTCCGCGAGAAGCGTACAAACATTTGCTCCAACTTGGCGGTTTGCCGCGATGCCGGGATATATGTCAGTTGTGGAACTTGCGGATCATGAAGTTTCCCGCGTACGCAGACAAGTTACCGTATGTCCCATTCCGCATAAAATGTCTGTCACGGAACTTTATGAAGAAATGCTCGGGAAACCTTCCCGGGAAGATATCCGCATCGAGATCCATATCGTACGTTCACATCCGCGTCGCGGAGGGAAACTCATACCGTAACTTACCGCGGAACATTGAAGAATCGAGCGGAGCGAGGCGCTGGAGGGGGGGGGGGGAGAGAAAACCAGGGCGGCCGCGATTGTGCGTTATCCTTTTTTCTTCCTTGAATAATATATTAAAATTACTCGGGATATCTCTCTCCCCGACTAAAAAGAGAGCCCCGTCCCCCCCGGGTTTATACGCTCGGGATACGTTGCCGATTCGTCTTCGCCGAGTCCCGCTCGGGTAGAGAGGAGGGGATCCGGGAATCCGCAGGGGTAATTGATTCCTTCCGACTTGGCGGTAGATCCAATCAGGATCATTGGGAAAGTTAATCGAGTGGAAGGAAGCGCGCGATTTCCTCCCCCGCGCGCTCGCGCATCCCCCGGAGCGTATCTCCCGCGCCGTTTGCGTCGCGATTTATTCGCGCGTTCGCAACGACACGCGCCGCTCTTTCATGTCGCGCCTCCTAAGAATTCATTATCGCGCCGCGATATTACTGCCATTCGTTACTCCGGCGACTCGGCTCGGGGCAGGCGGGGCGCGTAATATGATTTCCGGAAGTAAATATATAGGGACCCGTCGCGGACGAGACGCAACGGTAGATTTCGACGGCGCGGCGACGCGATCGACGCGTCTCGAAGAGAGAGAGAGAGAGAGGAGGGGGAGGGGGGGGGGTAGGGAGTGTCGGGAATCAATGGCGAATTAAAGATTTCTCGTTAAATCGCGCGTGAAACTGGAAGGATTCGATTGTTTCATTTGCAGCTTTAAGCGCGCGGATTTGCTAACGCGACTTTCCATTTGCTCGGGCACGTAATTAAACATTTTGCGATCGCAATATGTACTTGTTGGGGCAAGGGATGATTTAATGAAGATCAATATTCCAGTTTTACCAGTCGTGCCATTCTATTCGCTTAATAATAATGTTTGTTTGCCGGCGCGGTAAACGATCATACATCATCATATAGAACACGTTTCAATCATTGAATACCGCGGTATGACAAAACAGAGTATCTTATTCCGAGTGTTCAATAATTGTAGTAATGCGCACGATCGAGTTTCGCAAATTAATATAATTAATATTCAGTGCACCCCTTGCGCCTCGTCCGAGGGAACAATGAGTGATCGAGGCTGTTGAAAACGTGCGTCGCTTATCCCAGACTTATCTAGACACCGGGTTGACGTTTTAAGGAGTCAACGTGGCGAGAGCAAAACCTGGCGAAATATTCGCGTATATAAATCATTTGTTTATTTACTAGAGGGGTCTTCGGGGGACGTGGCCACTCTGCAGCTATACGATGGTCCACCAAACCACTGAATGAGATACCACGCATCGCTCTGGAGTCGCGCTGCTAGGTGCTATTCCTACTTTTGCCTCAGTGGTCGAATTAGTGAGACGCCCGCCTAGAGTAGTAGGGAAGTCTAGGTTCAAACCCTGGCTGAGGTAATATTTTTCGGAATAAATTTTCTGTGTTAAAACGCTGGCCGGCTAATGTCGACTGAAAAGCTTGATTATTATTCCTACTTTATTCAATAAAATACAGTGGGTAACCGAGAAGGATTTCGAGCGTGGGCCTGGATAGCTCAGTCGGAAGAGCGTTCGCCCGGCAAGCGGAAGGTCCCAGGTTCGAATCCCCGGTCTAGTCCTAGCCCGTTATTTTTCTCGCCGAAAATTAATAAGTGGCGTCTTAGTGCCTACCTCCCCGAAGATACACGCCCCTGTTTATTACTATGGATAAATAACACGTTGTAAATCTGTATAAATATAAAGTCAAGTCTGGCGGACAATGCGATTTAAGAAAATTATTACTCCGACAAAAATGCCCGAGCGTCGCGTAAAATAAAACGTATTGCATAATTAATTTTCAAGTACTAAATAGGTCGATTAAATTTCCGAAAGCGATGTCGCAACGGCGCACGACCGCGGTTTTTTTTATTTAATCACAACGAAATACATAATAACCGTCGAACGGCGCGGCCGGCCATATTTATTCACTGGGGCGTAGGCGGGGGTGGGCTGTAAAGTAATAAAGACATGATTTACGGAGATATTAAAATCGCAATGAACGTCCCGGGAATTTAGAAGAAAAATGCGTTTAAGAATTTCGAGGCGGATTCCTCGTCGCACATCGCGAACGCCGATGTCTCTAAATTGCTACGAGGCATCCCGCTATACACGCATCCAGAGGACATAAATTACAATGTAGGTTCACTGCGAGGGGGGGGCAGGAGGGGAGGGGGAGGGCCTAATGATTAAGGCGCGCATAGTTAGCGCGGTTGGTCGATTATCGAAACGGCATTTGTATCCGCTCCCGGGCGCGATAGCTGGAGACTACCGTAAGATATTGGGCGATTCACTTACTCTCATGAATATGTATCCACGTGGCAGTCTCTACTCTTCCGCTCTCGACAGTCATTATTCTTAATAACCGCCATTATGGCCGGCTACGCCGCAAGGATTTTTTAACGCGCGGACGCGAGGCGATGGCGCAAAACGACGACGATAAAATTATGCGGCAAACTCGGATCTCAAGAATGAACCCCCGGCGCAGCGTCCGTCCCCGGGAAGGATGAAAAACCGTCCCCCGTCTTACCGTAAACGTCGCGCAACGAGCGGCAATACCGCGGCGAGGAGGCGGGGGAAAAAAATTGGAGAGAACCGCCGACTCGTCTCCGTTTATCGCGAACGAATTTTCAGCGAGAGAGAGCGCGGAAGCGACGGGCGCTTTGATCAATTAATATGCGCCTATATTATTTGCGCGACCGTAATTATATCCAGCGAATTAATTACCGTATAATTATGTAATAATACTGGAAATATATCACTTATACATTATTGCCGCGTTGTTGAATGACGCCGAGATGAGCGGCGGCGCGCAATATCGCGGAATTGCGAAGATAACCGCGATGATAAATGCGTTCCGGCGAACAAGTGCGTTCTCGCGGCGCTTCTTTTTTCACGAGGGACAATGGCGACCGCCGCGCGTCCGACTGGCCTCACGGCCCACCCGCTTATTATTAATCTACAGTGCGAAGCAACCGCCTGCCGTGTAACCAGAGTCCAGATATCCGAGCGGCTGTTCGTTTCATTAAAAAATATCAGTCGCGATCGAGTGGACCGCCAACATTTCACAGTGTCTCGCCAGTGGCAAGTACCTCGCGCGTTTTAGTGCCGACGCGACGTCGCGTCGCGATATTTACGGCCTCGCTTATACCGCACGGCTTACGCTGCCGCGGCAATTATTGACGCGACCAGTAAAAACGGCCCCACGTAACGAGGCTACGGGGCTGGTAATAGTCGTTCGCCGCAGCCCGCCGCGCAGTTAGCTCCAACAATTCCGGGGCACAAAGCACGGGTATACTTGTGCACGCGTGCGGCGCAGATAAGAAATTCGCGAAGAACCACCCTCCGTACGCGCTCGACCTGTTAACGGGGTTAATTACCAATGGTCCCTCTCGTCGCCGTTCTCCCTCGCAGACGATATCGGGGACGTGGGGGTTCGTCCCCGTCGTTTCCGTCCAGGTCTTATTTCACGAGACTGTGCGTGTCCTCATTTCGACGCGCGGCGACTGCGATATAATAATTCATTCAAAATTATAATAATCGCCGGTACACGGAGACATTGAAAATCGTGGGATAACATGGCATTTTCAAGAACTTTATGAGAGTTTTGTGAAATTTTACCATACATTTTACTAATAAAATGTATACTAAGTATGATTACTAGTAAAATGTTTAGTAAAATTTAAAAACACATGGCATTGCAAAGGATTTTCTTTCAAAATTCATCCTGGAAACCGTGTAATCGTGGGACAACACGGCAGTTTCGAAAAACTGCATGAAAATTTTTTTAAATTTTACCATGCATTTTACTAGTAAATTGACAAAAAACATGGCATTTCAAAGAATTTCCTTTTAAAATCTATCCTGAAAATCATGTAATCATGGGACAACATGGAATTTCAAGGAACTTTATGAGATTTTGAAATGCTTTACTAGTAAAATTTAAAAAAACATGGCATTTCAAAGAATTTTCATTCAAAATTCATCCTGGAAATCGTGTAATCGCGGGACAGCACGGCAGTTCGAAAAACTGCATGAGAATTTTTAAAAATTTTACCATGCATTTTACTAGTAAAATGTCAAACAACATCGCATTTCAAAAGTTTTCCTTTTAAAATCTATCCTGAAAATTATGTGAACATGGGATAACATGGAATTGCAAGGAACTTTATGAGATTTTGAAATGCTTTACTAGTAAAATGTATGGTAAAATTTCGAAAAACTCTCGTAAAATTCTTTGAAATGCCATGTTATCCCACGATTCCATGATTTTCAGAATAAATTGTAAAAGAAAATTCTTTCCGTATTATTTCTAGTATGTACAAAATAAAACACACGCATAAAAAGAGGGATATATATAAATATATATCTTTCCTCATTCCCTCTCCGTCCCTCCCTCGCGCGCGCACGCCTGATAATTTCCGCGTTAATGTATTCAGAATACCCGGCCTGTTATTACGGGGGAATGAATAATGCACCCAATCTGTTATAACGTAAAATCTTAAGGTTCCCTAACATCATAACAGCTCGTTATTGCAATCGGGGGTAGCGTAAAAACACGTGCGAGTCGACAAAACCCCGACGCCGTCCGTTGCAATTAAAACCGCCGGACGTTTTATGGCTTTATGCTTCAAGATTTATCGTTTTAATTTACAAATGTTTACCATTCGAGAACACGCGGCCAGCAGAATTTCGAATTTCACCCTTAAACAATGTTCTTAGCATCCCAAGTGGGACTTTTTCCAAGATAATTTTAATTAAGAATACGCGAGTCCGACAACTTTCGGGCGTATTAATTGCGATCGGCGCAGAAACGTTTCGACACGAGAGAAGATAATCCCAGCGTCTACATTCTGTGCTTGTTTCATAGGAGATTTTTACATCTCGACGATTGCATTTATAAACGAGCGTCGTGAAACATGTAAAAAGTTATACGTTATTCAAAATAACCAAGTCATACTCAACTTTAGCAGAATGATATTCTTTGCAGTTCAAGAAACAGGTAATTTTTAACCCGCAGCACTTTCGAATAATGCACTCTGAATCTGTGTAACGCTATTGAAAAGCCTACCATTTCTCGGACAAAAGCTGTACAGTGATCGGGACGTGTACTCCGCAGTCAGTGCCGTTTTTGTCCGAAAAAATGACGGCTTTTTGCTGAATACTAACTGGGAAAACTAACCGAAAAAAAAAATCTACCGTACAAAGCAGCTTTGTTTCCACTGCACCCTCGCTTTCTTCTCCCTTACGTGGGTTTACGTGCCCGATTTAATTTCGAAAATTCCACAATGGTTAAGAATCGCAAAAACAACTTCCGACGTACGTCGAGTTCCGCGGAAAACGACGTCCCGGCGTAAGGAGAGTTGAAAGCTCACGGTTCTCCATCGCATCGCGAAAATTACGGGAGTGCCGCGCGCGCGCGCGCATCGCATTTGAAACATTCACTCATAAGAGTTCCGGGCGAGTTGTATGCGAGCTCAATTACTGCTCCTCGTTGCCGATGAGGGAGGAATGAAAATGAAAAGCAACCATTTCGCGCTTCCAAACTAACTAACTCGGGGAAAGCGGCGGGCGGCCCGCATAAACGCGCGGCGAAAATAAGCATCAGCGAGAACCATCAAAAATAGAACGCCAGTGGTGAATTTTTCATTTCGGGTTTATGTCACATTTAATTATGTCCCGGATTAATGCTCGGCATTTCTGTCTCCTCCTTCTCCTCCCCCCTCCCCTACCCCCCCCCCCACCGCGGGCTTTATCTCTTTCTCTCGCTCCCGGCGCTTCCAGGTCCAGTAGTTGTCTTTTCGTTGACGGTTTATTTCAAAATGGTATTATACGCGGTATATATGCCGTTTAGATTGCGTCCGGAGAGAGACTTTTCTATTTCGAAATACCGCACCTGCGCGCGCGCGCGCGTGCTCTCCCTTTTTGTCCCGTTCAATTTTTCCATTTTGCAAAAAATATTTAATGTTTGCTGATTCAATATTTCCCGGCAAAAACAACAAATAGCCGTGTCCCCCCTCCCCCGTAACGCGCGACAGGAGAGGAGGAAAAATTATATATGCGAATACACGCGAGCTATTTTGTTCTCGTCTTTCGCTCGCGGACACCAAATTCATTTTCCCCCCCGGTCTCCATTTCGCAATTATGTGGACACGTCCCCTGCTTTTTTTTTATCATCCCCATCGCCGGCGATCCGCAGTTACCTGGGGGGGGGGGGGGGTCGAAGAGTTCTTGCCTGCCTCTAACGCGGATTATTACCTGAGCGCGACTCAGGCGAGCCGCCCAGGCGTGCCGACGACTCCGCGACGTAGCCGCAATTACTCCGAGAAGACGTCGAAGCGCGGAGGACGAGCGGACGCGTCCGGAATTATTCTTGAGAACAGGCGGCCGTCGGACAAAACGTCGGGACGCGGCGGCCACCCTTCCCGCCGCTCGTTCTCCATTTTCTCCTCGGCTATTCGCCGCGCGAGAGTAACGAGCCGCGGCTCTTTAGAGCCTCGCATCGTCACGATGACGGGGCTCGACTCATGCACCGCCTTTCTGAAAAGTCCCACCCTCCCCTGGCGAACGATACAGCTCGCGT